GAATGGGGCAAAAACGCATTTTACTGCATGGGAGAATGCCACCGATGCTGCCTTCAAAAATCGGCTGCCAGGAACGGCTGGGGAACGCCTTAGGGACTCCCAGTGGCATTGATGCATTCTCCCATGCAGTAAAATGCATTTTTGCTCCGTTCCGTTCCGTTCCCATTCTTGTAAGTGCCGTGCAATAAGCTTATATGATTCCATAATTCTATGATAGACATGCTCCCAAATCAATGGAGTTGGATTATATAGGTAGAATTTGCTGAATGGCCCAAGAAGACTGGATCCCTCTTACAGTTTACTTTTGAGCTCCAAAGAGTTGCAGCCAGTTTGCAAAACAAACAAACAAACAAACAAAAAACAGCCAGCCTGAGGTGGGGTTGGGGTGTGTGTGACCATTTCCACTAAAAGGCTCTTGCAAAGTTGGATGTAAAGGCTGCAGTCTTTTTTAAGTCCCAGGTGTATAGAATGCTTCCAGCTATAAACAGCCTTGTTACGTAGCCTGAAAATATCTGGCTTGTTTGAACAGAACAGCTTTAAAAAATCTAGCGGGTGCTATGAGGAATGTTTCGCTGCGGTGTGTAAAATTTCACATTCCTGTACCGGGTTCAAGACAGAAAAGCTTCAACTGACACCCCTCCTTCTCTTGGCCTTTCATGTGGGCTTCACAGGGTGTTGCAAAAAGCTTTTATAGAGCTCCTGGTCTTTTCCCCACTGATGCTGAATTCTTCCTCCAATCTTCACTCCTCCTTCCTCTAAGCCTGCTCTGTGTATGATATTTTCTGCATATGACTTTCAGGGGTGCTATAATTCAAAGAGGATCTCCTCAAGGCAAGCACCTCTGAACTGGCAAGGCTTTCCCTGCTGTTTATTCCTTTTATTTACCTGGAGAAGCAGTTTGGAGTCACACACGGCACAGAATATTCTGTTCAAAAGCTAGGAAAGGCTTTTTGCAGCCGTTTGCTTTTGCTTGAGCCCACTGGGAAGGACAAGACTCTCTCTATCCCCTTCTCTCCCTCTTGCTGAGTTGAGCACAAACTACTTTTTTCACTTTGAACTCTGTTTGTTGCAACTGAAGTAATCCCCGGATTAATAAGAGAGATGGGAGGTGGAGGAGGAAAAAATTGGGGTATTTTAAAAGCAGTTTAGGAAACAGGACAGCGGAGGATTAACCTGGATCCCAGCCAAAATTGAGGATATTTGGTGCCTCCATGACTTCGTCCACACCTCCACTTTGCTCACAGGTCACTCTTCCATATGCATCAGGAACACTTTTCTTTTTAACGTGTGGAAAGGAAGGAAAGGCACAATTGTCACAATCCCAGTGTCCAGATAGAAGAACAAGAGGGAAATGAAACAGTCTGGCAGTGACACAACCGAAGCTCTCTGTAAAAATGGAGTGAATTTCAGAGAACATATTGAATATGGAAGCAGGAACGCTGGAATTGCTTTCCGGCAAAGTTTTAATTAGAAAACAATCTTAATTCTGATGTTCGTTCCCCTTTTAACCAAGAGGTGGTGCCACCTTTTAAGAGCTTTGCAGGCCCAGTTGCCAGTCTGTCCTAAGACAGAGAAAGACATAGGAGATTATCATAGACAGACAGGATAGGGATGGGATCGCTCCCCCATCCTTATCCTGTCCATGAGAGCGATTGCGCAAAAGCCTTTCATAACACAGTGCTGAACCTGTCATTATTCTGTCATTGAAACGGCATTGCATTAACACAAACTCCTGTTAATGTAAAATGCGGAGAAATGCCACTTCAGTGATGGGACAATGATGGGACAAT